ATTGCCACAAACACTTTGAATTATTTCCTATATACTGTATTTATCCTATATATATTGCCACAACCATGCTTCACAGTAAGTTTAGTGTTTTGAAGGTGATCAGCGTTTGAGGCTTTGTGGTATTTTCCTTGATTAGCAAAAAACTGTAGTTTTAGTCTCACATTTCTAGAGTTTGAACATTTCAGATAAGTAATTATTGCTCCAGGTTGGGAGTGAAGTTCTGCCTCAAGTGGAGGACATCAAGTATCTTGGGGTCCTGTTCATGAGTGAGGGAAGATTGGAGCATGAGATTAATGTGTCCAATGCCTCAAGTTGGACAGTTGTGCACTTTAAGGTCAGACGCTCTTCAAAATTGCTCTTGACGCTCGTTGACCACCTCTTGCTCTGCTGGTCTTTATTTATTGGTGGATGAAATAAAGAAAGTTGCTTTGTTTTATTTACTGAGGGCGTGTCACTCTCACTAGATAATTCATTATAATTCACCAGATAATTCAGATTTGTTCTGAGTTTGGTGAGTTTCACCACTCCAGGAGCTGTGAGCTGATGAGCCTCTCTTTCAGAACTCTTTTTGTCCCGAGCCCAGTTTGATGAGCCGCTGACCTGCATCGGTGCTGATATTTCCTGTCAGTACATGACTACAGGCACTTGATTTCAGCTAAAGAGCTCCTGTCCATCTGTCTCAGTTTAGTGGACATCAATCAGGAAACCGTCCCGTTGGAAAATGTGTCACTACATCCCACAATGGAGTCTCTCTGATTGGTTCATGCTCTGCATTGAGCTGCAAAAGTTCCAATTTTCCAACTCCAGTGTTCGACACGTCCATAGACTTCGCATRCCCCTGACTACTCAAAGTRGAGCCGCTGCTCCTCCTCATCGAGAGGAGCCAGTTGAGGTGGTTCWGACATCTGTTTAGATGCCTCCCTGGGGAGGTGCTTCAGGCATGYCCAGCTGGGAGGAGACCYCGAGGAAGACCCAGGACAGGCTGGAGAGACTGTCCSTCTGCTGGCCTGGGAACGCTTTGGAGTCCTCCCAGAAGAGCTGGAAGAGGTGGCTGGGGAAAGAGAGGTCTGGGCTTTCCGGCTTAAGCTGCTGCCCCCGTGACCCGACTTTGGATAAAGCAGAAGATAATGGATGGATGGGAAAAAAAACTAGCTTGCTGATGGGCCAGATGATAAATCACAGCTGTACAATTTATTTAGCTAAAATCAGACTAATGTATTCTCTTTGCAGAATGAGACATTTAAGTTACCAAGTTAAAAAAGGAAGAAAACTGATTTTACATAAAATGTTCTGAAGAAACATGTCAGACAGAAAATAAAATTTAATTCAGTTTATATAGAGCCAAGTGGTCAAACGTCGTCTCAGGGCATTGTACCAAAAAATAATAATAATATGAGGAAGCCAGCAGATTGTGTTGAATTTTCACTTCATCACAGTCTCTTGAGCAGCACATTGGTAAAAGTGGAAAGTAAAAACTCCATTTTAACAGGAAAAACCTCCAGAAGAACCAGGCCCAGGACAGGCGGTCGGTCATCTGCCTCAACCGGCTGGCTTTGTGGGGACAGGAAAGATACTCTGGCTGTGTCTCACTTCAGGGGCTGCATCCTCATGATTACACAGTTTTTTGGCCACTAAAGTCACTGCTCAGCGCCAAGTGTTGTCCCAATTCGTAGGCAGTTCATACAGCTGAGGAATACAGCCCACAAAATCCTGAAAATGAAGGCTGCATCTGAGTATCCTTCCTGACAGATGATATCCCAGGATTCAATGTGCCATCATCAACTAAACAGAAACAAAGAGGGTGGAGTTTTCTGTAGATACTAGAATGTCATTTGGTTACATCAAAGGTATATTAAGAATTTCTCTGATACTTTCTATAACTAAGCAT